TTCCTGTTCATTTTTTATTGCATTTAGCTAGGCATATTTTTTTCCCATCCTTTGATGTTTAATCCATTTTTGTCTTTGTGTGTGAGATTTGTCTCTTGCATACAGCATTTTGAAGGATTTTGTTTTCTTATCCATTCTGCCCCCTCCCCCACCGTCACCTAACAGGTGTATTTAATCCATTTACATTCAGTGTAATTATCAATAGTTATTGATTAACCGAACAACTGCTTCTTGGTCTAGGTACAGCCAGAGTGCTCCTTGGAGGCCAAGATGGCTAAGCTTCGTCTCTCATACTTTGGACATATTGTCTGGAGGAAACAACTGTTGGAGAAGGATGTCATGCTGGGTAAAGTGGAGGGTCAGAGAAAAAGAGGAAGACCTCTAACGAGATGGATTGGCCAGGTGACATCATTGATGAACTCAAGTGTGGCAGCAGTAGTGAGGTTGGCCCAGGATCGCACATTGTTTCTTTCTGCTGTGCATGGTGTCGCTATTAGTCGGTTCCAACTCGATGGCACCTGACAACAACAACATTGATTAATTGCTGTCATTATGTTTGTTTGTTTTGGTGTTACTTCTTTCTTTGTTCTGTGTGTCTTCCTTTGTTGAGTTCATACTTTTTGTGTTCTGTCTTATGAGTTTCTTCATAGTTTTAATGTTTCCATGTTCTACTTGGATTTTCATTCTCTTGGTATGTTGTGAAGTGTTAATTTTCTTTGGGGTTGCCTTATCGTCCACTAACTTTTCTCTCTGTTTAATTCAGTCTATTTTATCCTGTAATCTACCTGATCTTCTCTCCATCTGGACCTCTGTTCCTATGTATTTACCTTCTTTTACATTGTACTTGTTTTGATCATAGACTGATCTCCCAGAATCTCTGAGTTTGTTCTTACAGTTTTGTTCCGTTCTCAACTTTTCCTTCTGTCAACTTAATTCTTGGAGGTGCTGCCACATATGTCAGTCTCTGGTGGGTATCAATTCTTGTTTGTTCTCAATCCACAGAACTCCCTTTCTGATCTTTTGTAGCGCAGTCTTGGCTTTGGCGAAATCCCTTAGCTTCTGTTTATCCTGGAATGTTTTGATTACATCCTCATATTTGATTGATAGCTTTGCTGGATAAAGGATCCTTGGTTGGTAATATTTTTCTTTCAGGGTTTTATATTTGTCTCCCCATTGCCTTCTTTCTGGCATGGCTTCTGCTGAGAGATCCTAGCTTAATCTTACTTGCTTGCCTTTGTATGTGACATTACTGTTTTCCCTATCTGCTTTCAGAAGTGTCTACTTGTCTTTGATTTTGGAGAGCTTGATTATGATATATGTCTTGGTGATTTTCTTTTGGGGTCTACCCTTCCTGGGGTTTGTTGAGCTTCTTGAATATTTATCTTTTCACTTTTCTGGATGTTAGAGACATTTTATTCCAGAAGTTCTTCAACTATTTCCTCTGTCGACTTATGTGATTCTTCTTGTTCTGAAATGCCAATTATTCTTAAGTTATTCCTCTTCATGTTATTCATCATAAACCTTAGACCTTCTTCAGATTTTTTCCTGTTTTCGTGTTTGCCTTTCTATCTTAGTGGTATTGAGAGATTTGTCTTCCAGCTCACTAGTTCTGCCTTCTATCTCGTCTATTCTACTCCTTTGCCCTTTCAGAGTATAGTCTGTTTCTGATATTCTGTTATTGATCATGTGGACCTCTTTCTGTAGGTTTTGAATTGTTTCCAATGCTGTATCTATCTTATTTGATTGTTCCTGTAGCACTTTCCTGACTTCTTCCTTGTTTTTCTCAACACCATTGTAAAGTGTTTTGAAACATTTTATAATCATTTATCTGAATTCCTTCTTAGACATTTCCAAGGCCTGCCCTTCTTCCAGAAAATGGAGTCCAGGTCTACCTCTAGTTCATTTGTCTCAGACATTTTATCTTGTTTCTGGACATGTGCTGATATGGTCATCTGCTTTTGCTTTTTGGACATGTTTAGTGTTTATCTCTAGCCTTAATAGTTAATGGAGTATGTGTTTTGATATTTTTTATGCTTTCTGATTGCCTCCAGGAAGATGTGATCAGTATGTGGGCTTCCCTTTTCACTCTTCTTATTGCTTAACTCAGAGCAACTTTCATAGGTATTGTCTATTTTCCTGGTATATTTCAATTGGTATTGTTTCTTGCCTGGGTTTTGGTGTTTTGTAGAGTGTAATGATCATAGCTTGGCTATATGGCAAAGTTGAAGAGGGAGCATAAAACAGCAAATCAGCCCCAGAAAAAAAAAAAAAAAAAAAAAAAAAAAAAAAAAAAAAACAAGAGAAAAAAATCTAAAAACAGCAACAACACAAACTAGACTGCATACCGCAGTTTTTGCTCCAAGGTTCTTGTGGTGGTTTTTTGTGGTGTTTCTGCTCCACTGCTTGGTCTTGCCATTTGGTCTCACCCAAGGTATCGACTCTGGGACTCTGAGCCAAGCAGATGCAAATTACATGATTTCTTACTTCAGTTTCAAGTTCCACAAGCTATAAGCCTTCATACTTTTAAAATATTCCTATCTCTGTGGTTCTGAGTTTTGGAGCTCTGCCCTGGATCTTCTTTTCCTGGTATTTTGTGGTATGGCTAATGGTGAACTTCACTGCACCTCCACTCTAGCCACCATCAAGCCCTGCCTCTCCAGCTATAATTCTGATAATAACTTTTTGTATGCTGTTAAAGGACTGGGTTTTGAAATTCTTTTTCTCTTAAGAGAGAACATAGGAATGGTAGATATCAAAATTAAATGTATTTATTGACATTCACTGTATATATTCCATAAATATAGCATAGACTATATGATAATTGCAGTTCTGATATGACTATGTGGGATAAGCACTGGACTGCTAACTGCAAGGTAGGTGGTTCAAACCCAATAGCTACTCCTCAAAAACATTTTATGTGGTCACTATGAGTAAAACAGCACTTCACAACAACAACAATGAGTAGAAAATAACAGGACAGCTCTAACAGTAATAGATAATGAGTAAAGTGAAAAACTGCATATGCATCCATGTAATTTTAGAAGGCTTATTGAAAACAAACTTATGAATTTAAAAAAGAATGAGGAAAGCCATGTGAATTCAATGTTGAGACTCAGTATTGACACTTAATCTGAAATTTTAAAACTCTTTGGAAAAATCCTTTGTTATCAGTAAGTTGAGTTTGGTGAAATATTCATAAAAATAATTTAATGGTAGTCAGTCATAAATTAGCACCTATAGAGGTAAAATTTTAAAACTAATTTTTTTTATATATTATGGGAATTTGGAATCAAATGGAAAAGAGTGAAAGTTCCTTTTTTTACATTCCACAAAGAATTTAAGTTCCAGGTTAGTTTTGATCCTAGTGTAATTCTAGTAAGAGTGTAATTTGTGTTAGTCTTCCTCAGAAACTTTTGTGACTGATATACTCTTTGTTTGTTGTTGTTAAGTGCCATCAAGTTGGTTCCAACCCATAGCAACCCTATATAGGGTTTCCAAGGAGCAGCTGGTGAGTTTGAACTGTTGACCTTGCAGTTCACACAGCTTTGCAGTCTGGCACATTAACCCACAGCAGAGATCTCAGTCACTATAGTATTATATGAGGTTTATATGGAAGCTTGTTTATTTCATTGTTCTTCTTCTGTTGAATTTTCTTGTCAGAAGTTCTAAGTCATCCATCATGGCTGAGACGGACCACAAATAAATTAACTCTACTCCCTTCTTATAGCCTCATTTTTGCCTTAGAAAACATGTGTTTTGAGTGTGCATTTATATTAGTGCTTCTGTTCTCTTGAGGAACTAGCTTATGTGTAACAATTGTGAGGATGGTGCAGTAACCAGCAGTTTGTTTTGTTGTACATAGGGGCTTTGTTAGTCAGAATCTACTTGATGACACTTAACAATAACAACAGCATACTTTCTATAGATGCACTATAGATTTCCCATATCTTTATGTTGTGATATGGGAAGCATGAAAAAAATTAAAAGGTCACTAAGAAAAAATGGCAGTTATTAATTATTGATAATTGTGTGTAGGTACAATGCAAATTTTGCCAATTATGGACTTTTTCTAGTCAGTAATGATTTAGGAATATTTATACGTAAAGATGTTCTAGAACATCTGTGGAAGATTACTATTTCCTGGACTTCTATCCAAAATAGGGAAAGAAACACTATTGTAGAGCATATGGCTTAAAATGTATTTTAAATTCTATGGTTTTAATAGTAATCATGTTAATATCCTTAATGTTAGGTTAATTTTTCATGTCCTCTGCTTAAAAGGAGCCTTCTCTCACAAATTCCATAATAGTTAATTATTTTGATTTGTTACTTTTACATGATGACATATTTATGACTACTGTAAAATACAAATATTAGACATTATATATTCCAATGCTGAATTAAGCTTATGGGAACAGGTTGCAGTTGCATAGAGTGGTAGTAATGCTTCAAAAATTTCTACTTGCTGCTTTTATAACTGCTAAATCACACAATCACACAATATCACATGGGCATAGCATCTTCCAAATCTTATTATTATTATTTTTTTTTAAGGTTGGAGAATGTCTATCCTGCATTGCCAACAACCTTATTTCTCTTAAAAATTGTAAGCTAGAAACTTCAATATAGCAATATATTATAATAATAAAAAATAATATTACTATTTTTAACCATGATGATATTTGGATTAAATAATTTTGTTTGTTTTATGGATAAAGAGGTTGCATCTTATAACATTTGGGCAAGATAACAAGATAATGGAATATTTATAAATAAAACTGTGAATATAGGAAAATTAAAATTATAAAATATTGTACAATACCATAGGTTATATGAAGTACCTAAAGATATATTAGAATATAGTGATACTTCATATATTTTTAAAACCAGCAAGAATGAATTTAGGCACTTTAAAAAATGTATTTCATTTATCAATTTTGATGTGATTTCCTTGTCCAAATAATGCAAATAGCAATTTTAATATGTACTGTCTCTTTTAGGACTGGATCTGCCATTTGTGATGATGCCTCATCCCCTTTTTCCAGTCAGCTTACCTCCTGCATCAGTTGCCATGGCAATGAATCAGATGAACCATCTCAATACTATTGCCAATATGGCTACTGCAGCCCAAATTCACATTCCACTCTCCAGAACTGGGGCCACTGTTATAAAGGTAAGCATCATGATTTAGAAGACAATAAAAATATTACTTAATGTAAATTGTGATAAAATATTAACAATACCACTAAATCTTCACCAGTAACAACAGCTCATTGGCTCAATTGGTTAGTGCACAATATTGATGAGTTTGATTTCTGACTAGGCCTATTAGTCTTTTAGTTATTTTTTTGTTGTTGTTGTCATTCATGGCCATAGATTACACCTTTCATTATAGATTTCTGTCTGAAAATATGTGTACAGAGTGTGGTGTGAAATGGGGGACAAAGTTAATGACAGTAGATAAATGTGCAAATACCATTCCCATTGCTAGAGTGAAACAAAATAAACACTGTGCATCTTCTTTGTGTTTTGGAGGTATTTAATTGAATTTATTGTAAGGTATAGTAGAATAAGCACTCCACCTCAAGGTCAGTTTGAAACTCACAAGGCACTCCTTAGAAACCCTATACAGGGTTGTTATGAGTTGTTATGAGTTGGAACAGACTCAATGGAACTTAAAACAACGTCAACCATACGGGTCATTTAGACATGCAGACACATGTTCCAATTCTGGTTCTCTCATTTATTAACTGAATGACCTAAGGCATGGCACTTAATCCATTTGATCTTGTTTCTTCGTCTATAAAATGATGGTCATTGTAATAAATTGTCCCACTTTTTCCAATGGCTCTGTAGAGATAATGTGAATAAAATATATACTGAAAACTATAAAGGGTTAAATGTTTATTATTACTTATAATGTTATTGTTATTAGAATATTTCTCAAAAGTTCGTGGATATTATGAAGCATAATCATAAATGGCAGATCCAGTCCTAAAAGAGACAGTACATATTAAGATTGTTATTTGCATTGTTTGGCTTATTCTTTATTTGTTAGGTATATGGCATCCCTGCTTTATCCCCAATTATTATGTGTGCTACACTAATGAATTATGGTTTGTTTGTTTTTTCTTATTAAGGGTATTCTAGGAGCACTGTATGATAAAATAGAGGGTCATCAGAAAAGAGGAAGAATCTCAACACAATGTGTTATTGACACAGTTCCTACTCAATGAGCTCAAGCATAGTAATGATTATGAGGATGGCACAGAACCAGGCAAAGTTTCTTTCAGTTATACATAGGGTCACTATGAGTAGAAACCCACTTGATAGGACCTAACAGCAACAACAACAACAAGAGTGTAGTTACTCAATGCAGCATATTAATTTGTTTCTTTGTTCTTCATCAAGTCAATAAATATGATGCCCTTGACATATGTCATTGTATTAAGGGAAATAGGAGAAATCTAGATAAAAAAAGACATAGCTTCTATCTTTCAGGACCTCACAGATTAAATTGGAGACAAACAGCAAGTACCCAATTAATTAATAACGGATAAGTTAGAATGTGGTATATGCCACAAGAGAATCACCAAGTATTATAAAAATTCAGAGATTATGCCTAGATTTAAAGGGACCAAGACAGATATTATATTTGATAGATTTGAACATGCTGATATGAGTTTCTTAGACACTGGGGTGAGGGAAGAAAAGTTAGTAAAAATATGAGATATTTTGGACATGATTTTTACATTTTAACATTAACTTCCAGTTTGGGGAGCCTCTAAACACTTCCTGGTGTGGCGCTGTAGGATAATCATTGGACCAGAAGGTCAGCAGTTTGAACTCACCAATCACTCCTCAGAAACCCTATACATGATTGCTATGAGTCGGAACCAACTCTGTAGCACTTAAAAAGAACAAAAACTTCAGGAAATAAAGCTATAGAGATTTGTAGGGGGAAAAAAAGATCATTTTTATTATGTTCTCGCTTTATATTGCCCTGGTCAAATGTAAGAGTGCTTCCTGTAATGATGGTAGCCTACAGTGGTTTAATCTATCCTAGTTTATGACACACCTGTCTTGTTTATTTTGTTATTGTTATTCCTTAGTATTTGAACAGAGTTTAAAGTGGGAATGAGTTGTCATTGAAAAAAAAAATCAGTTATTAAAAGATAAAATAATTTTCCCATGACTTTGAAATAAGGTGACTATTAATTAAATGTGATTCTGCATACAAATAGGGAAATTCAATTAAAAAACAAAACACTGAAAACAATGATATTGTTATACTTACTTTGAAGTTATGAAGGCATGCTTTTAACTCTTTAAAATTATGTTTGACTTGTATTCTTAAAGACCATCACTGAAATTGAATCGGCTACATTTTGGTTGCATGTTTGGGATTTTAGAAACTTTGTGAAGAATTTCATCTGAGAGACACTTAGAGATGGGACCCAGAACTATTAGCCATGAGTAGTGATGATGATGGGAATGGAAATAATAATCATCTTTTCCTAATTGAAAATTGTTTTTGCTTTTTAAAGCAATATAATTACTTTCATTTGTTGGTGTTTGATGTATTTTCTATGCAACTTTTTAAAAAAATAAGTAAGTCAATTCCTTCTCAAGCATATGCTTCATTGCTTCTTTTATAAGTTGATATCAGAGCACATGTACATTTAAATCCTTCTAAATAGTCAGAAAACATTTTATATTGGAGTGAAATTTAGTGTTCTATTATATAGTTATCTTAACTAAAGATAGTTGATAATGAGATATTTTCTTCAAATTCTCTACAAATCTATCAGAAATACATTTCCATCAGAGGACAATAGAGCAATGAAAAATACATTTTTAAAAGTTTATTTAAGGGACTAGTGAGGGCTTTTTAATACAGTTGTCTTTTTTTGAGAAAAAAATCACATAATAGTACCAATATTTGTTGTTTTTGTTAAGTGCTGTGTAGTCATTTTCAACTCAAAATGACCCAGTATAGGATTTCCAAGGAGAAGCTGGTGGGTTTGAACCACCAAATTTGTGGTTGAGTCCAGTACTTTTCTTAAAGTATCATAACAGGATTCCAGTACCATCACTAATTTGAAAATACTAATTTCCAGGAAATATAAAATTCCTCTAAGTAATTGACAAACAGACCTTCAGGTGTTTAAAGCTTCGTCTCCTTCTAAGAATAGTTATCAATGTAATATTAACTATATGGCTACCAGGCAGAATTATATTCTGGTGCATGAGTATATAGATTGATTATAAATAGGAATCCAATTGACATCACCTAAGAGCAGCAGGGATATGGTGTCCCAATTATAAAAGTAGAAATTTCATACACCTGAAATTTCATACTACATTTAACCAGATACTTATTCAATGTTCCTGGTGAATAGCTCCAAAGTTCAATCTGTTATCATTCTGAAGATATCAGGCAAATATATGTATTGAGACTTCATCATGTAATACTTTTAGGGGGATGCAGAAACTATTTTTGCAACGTATATTTTCATTAAGGTACTCTAGTAGCATAGTAGTTGCCAGTTGTGCTGCAAATTGTAAGGGCAGAAGTTTGAATCTACCAGTCGCTCCATGGGAGAAAGATGAGGCTTTCTCCTCCTGTAAAGATTTACAGGCTTGGAAACCCTATACAGAGTTGCTATGAGTTGGAGCCAACTTCATGGTATGCAAGCACCACCACCACCATATTTTGATTTATATTTTTTTATCCTATGTGCTTAACATAAATAGTGGCACTGTAGAATTAGCACTGGATTTCCAACTACAAGGTTGGCCATTCAAACCCACCAGCTGCTCCTCAGAAACCCTATACAGGGTCAATATGAGTTGAAATTGCCTAGATGGCACTTGTCAAAGACAACAATAACAACAGCATAGTTAAATCTTTTAGGTCTTTAAAAAATCCTTTTACTAATTTAAAACACAACTCAAAGCAAAACAGTACAAATCTATATCAGAAACTTGATATATACAGTAAGGGACCGGGACACTTTATAAGAACTACAAAATAAGTTTTGTTTAATTGAAATTTTTAAATATTTACAAAATGAACTACCATATTTATTGATATGTTTACATTTTTCCTAATGTTTTCATATGCTTATTTTTGCTTTCAAGTAAATCTTTCTCTTTTTCTATATTATTTTCATAAGTGCTAGGACTAAAAATCAACAACAAATAACTGTGATATTGAAACAAGTTTTCAGATGTCTAAATATCTGTCACTCTTCTTTAACATGGATTGCATTACACAGATGCCTGCGCTTGTCACTGATGACCATGAGACTGATTACAGGTTCCATCAGAAGCTGCTCTTGCTTTGAATATTAAAAATATGTGATACATGTTTGTTTGTTTTTACATGCTGTCAAGTCATTTCTGACTCATTAAATCTATATATGGGTTGCAAGAAATGATTGGTGAGTTTGAGCCACAGACCCTGTGATTCAAACAAATACATAGAGGATATTAAATTAGCAAAGGACTGACTCTGCAAACTATGTGTGATTTCAAAGGTCTTGCTGTTGTTGTTGTTAAGTGCTGTCGAGTCAGATCCGACCCATAGTGACCCTGTATAGGGTTTCTAAGGAGCAGCTGGTGAGCTTGAAGTGCCAACCTTGCAGTTCAAACGGCTTTGCAGTCTGGCACATTAACCCACAGCACCACACTCAAAGGTCTTAGGAGCAACTATTTTAACATTTCTATGTTTCAGCTTTGCTTTCTGCAAAACAGTTCTTAATTTGTTTCTATATTTACATTTCTCCTGGTCAAATCTTCATGTACAGACTGGTTAGACTAATTTATAATGAATGGCAATACATAATTTTGATACAGACAAGTCAATTTGTCATCCAGCTTATTTGTTAACTAATTGAATCTCAAGATGCCACTGATAACTGGTTTGAAAAGTATATTACTCCTCTGTTTTTGTTTTGTTTTGCCTTTCCCCATTCATGGAGTCCCTATTATGTATTAGGTAGTTTTCAAGACTTGCATTTCAATATGGAGAGACAAGCAGTAAACAGATTAAATAATTATGTAATTCTTAATTAAATATTTAAATTGAGAAAATTATGAGCTTATATATACAATTTTGAAAACATGTTGTGGAATTTGCTGTTATGGTCAATGAGATAGGATTTCTGA